TTTTTTTGTATAATTTTTATTAGATATTATTGGGCTTGAATTATATTAATTATAAAAAGATGTGGGGAGGATTGTATTTGTATGCAACTCTATATTTTTTATTTGGTTAAGGTTTTTGGGATGTGGCGAGGGGTTTTATATAGTGAGCAAAGAGGCTGTGTAGGTGGTAATATTTTTATTTTTAATTACATATTACATAAGAAACACTGTAACTAATTTTGAAAAAATATAAAATGTCCGCATGTAGATTAACATGTTTGGTATGATTAATATGTGGTGCTCAAATTGAAGAGATAGCTCGTTTGTAAACAATAATGATTATTACATGAGGTGGACGGTTCATTTAAACAAGAAATAAGACCAATAGGTAGACTTAAGTGGTAAACAGTTTGATGGCGCTTAAGAAAATATTGGGTTCGAGTCTTTGTGGATGCAGAAAACCATTGTTGAGAGACTCACCCACCACTGCCAGGTGCGCGACCCGAATCGACCAACATATTAGTCGGGGCATAACTCCGGATACCGTGGCTGAATAAAAAAAGAAAAAAACAAGAAAATAGGGTCTAATGATTATTATTTATGTAACATTAAGGGGTTTTGATTATGCCATTAAAATTAACTAGTAGATATCCTGTGCACATGCACATATGTAAATAAAATATTATAAGTAATATTTGAGAATTTAATATTAAAATTTTAGATAATGAACATATTAAATTTTCAAAAATTTTATTATTAGGAAAAATAAATTAACGATTTTATTATTATGAACAATTATTTATTATCATTAGATAATAACAATTTGATTATTATTATTATTATTATTATTATTATTATTATTAAAAACAATTTTTTATAAGCTTCTAAAGTTGTTTGACTATCATATTAAAACAATTTAATAATTGTTTTTTTTTTTAAAAAATTATGAGATACAAAGAAAAAGATAATATTGATGTTAAAATAAATAACTTGAAGCAATTGTTTTTATATTTTATTGTGAATTACTATTAGTTGGTATTAACAATAACTATTATATTATATAATAAAAACAACTAGTAATCCACCCGTGCGATGCACGGGCTAAGATTAAAATTTATATATTTGTCAATGATTGTTCAAACACATCAAAAAAATATTTGAGTTAAAAAATGTATCTAACTAAATTTAATTATTACGTATCTTGGACACCTAGTTTTATACATATTTAAATGAAATTATGAATGTTCCATACATTAAAAATCAATACATTAGTTGCAACTTTAAAAATAAAATGATACATTTTAAATCGGCATGTTTTAATAATATGATATAACAATGGAAAAATAACCATTGTAATATTTAAATATTTTTATCTAATATATAATGTCGAAATATTAAAATAAATCATATTAAGACAAAAAAAAAGAGATTTTATTTAAGTCCTATAATTATAATATATGTTGAACTTATTGAATAAAAATTATTAGAAGTTGATCATATGAACACAAAAAACTAATAATTTTAGAAAGCTAAATGAGTATTTATTTTTGTTAGTCTCAATTAATTCGTGAATAAAATAATTATAAGATACTTAATAGTATCCAAAACAAAATGTTAATAAAACATGCCGATTAGTACAATTCGTAGAACTGTAACTTGGAATTGAAAATTAAATAACAAATGAACTAAATTTTAAAAATATGATGAAAATGAATGAATACTATATGCAACCAACTATGTACAGCCTAGATCAAACACATAAATTGAGGGAAGAAAATTTAATTCACTGAAGTTCTAAATTATTAAACATTTTGAAACACCTCTTCAAATACAACATTAGTGGTAGAGGTTTGGACCTCATTATCTCTATCACTATCACCATCACAAATTAGAATCTTTAGTCCTTGAGGATTCGTAACTCTAGAAAGAGCAACGTACAATTGTCCGTGACTAAAGACAGGTTTCTTTAATAATAAGCCTACATGCGACAGTGATTGTCCTTGACTTTTATTAATGGACATCGCATAGGACACCATAATTGGAAACTGACGTCGTTGAAACTTAAATGGAAGTCTTGGGTCTGAAGGCGTCAAAGACATTCTTGGAATTAAAACTTTTTGACGCGAAGTTCCTGCTGTCAACACTTCCCCTTCAATTACATGTTTTCCAAGTTTGGTGACAATCAATCTCGTTCCATTGCACAATCCAAGTGAATGGTCAATGTTACGAAGCAACATTACAGGTGTCCCCACTTTCAAATTTAATTCATGATTTGGCATACCAGAGCATTTCACCGAATTCAAAAACTCCGGAGTGTGGATATCATTAAGAACATCAATGCTCTTATCCGAATGACATGGAGAATCAGAACTGAAATACGACTTTGCTTCTGAACTGTTCAACGAAACCATGTAATCATTTACGGAATTAACTACGTCTAGAGTCGGAGCTAATATAGCTCTTTTAAGAAAATAAGAGTAGTCATCCGGATCATTTCGAAATGATGGGTAAGTACTATCCACGATTGCTTCAATTGGATCATCAAAGTCTTTTACCAAAAACTCGTCAGGAATTTCAATGGTTGCGTAACCATCATTACTATCCCCAAGCTTTCCATCCCCAACCTGGGCAATCCACTCGGCAAACCTTTTCAAATCTTTACAACTTTCACCCAACTGCAAATTTTGTAATCTCATGTTCTTCGTCAATCGCAAAACATGACAGTGGCTCCACAACGGCGACGAATTTATCGTTGCACGAATAATGTCTTGTCTCGTGCCTTTTGGAATGACAGGCAAAATCTGACGGAAGTCCCCACCAAAGACCATGGTTTTACCTCCAAAAGGCAAATTTTTTCTGCAAGGATCGACATTTTTCATTATGTCTTTCAAAGTACGATCCAATGATTCAAAACAAAACCTGTGCATCATTGGAGCCTCGTCCCATATTATAAGTTTTGTTTTCACTATAAGCTCAGCAAGCGGTGTCCCACATTTAATATTGCATGTAGACTGTTCAGTGGGGGTGAATGGAATGGAGAATCTTGAATGTGCAGTTCTTCCACCTGGCAGCAACAATGAAGCTATACCGCTCGACGCCACATTTAAAACTATTTCCCCCTTTGATCTCAGAGCTGCGGATAGTGTCTTCCATATAAATGTTTTTCCAGTTCCTCCATAACCATAGACGAAGAAGACCTTTCCATATTTAGCGTTTGTAGACTTTATAATTGCATCATAAACCTTATATTGCTCTTCATTCATCGTGGATAAATACCGTCCGTGTTCTTCTCTTAAACTCTGCTGATCATGACATGTCTCATCATAAATAAGCCTAGAAGTTGCAGAAGAAAAATACTTAGCGAGTGGGTAGGGCATCGTTGGGAAATCACGCAAAGTTTTGCTGAATCGTTGCAGAATTTTATCAATCTCCACCAAAGCATAATTCTTTAAATCTTCTTCCGATAACTGCAAATCTATTCATAAGAAAAAAAACAATTTAATATAAATAAAATAAAACCTATTAACATATAATAATCATATAATAAAACATTACCTGCATATTGAAGCAATTTTCGTTGTTTGCTCAAAATATCGTCTGATAGATAAACCCAACAGGAGTTCCATACAACTTCAGGTCGACTGATAGATCCGGATGATAGAAGTGTTGCAAAAAGAACTCTAGTTGATTGGCCTGATGCCCAATTACTTGCTTCAGTTATTCCATCAACATACTCTTTATCGTCATCCAACAACCCCAATGCATAGCAAGCATCTCTAAAGGTATCATACTGAGTGCCATTAACGAAACACAAGTCCTCATAGCATGTTGGACCACGCACTACATTTAACAAACACCTTAAGTAGTACATGTCTCCAGAACCTGGAGGAACATAGTAAATGCGACCAATAGCAAAACCTTTCTGCCTTTGAAACCATTTCTTTTCTTTCGAGTCCCAAACAAATTTTGTTGGAAACTCGGCATAAGTAAGCTCTTTGGCTTCAGAATACAATTTGTTAGCCTCCATCCATTCTAAAAACATGCTACTTTCAGATGTTTCTCTGTCTAGAATATCTTCAATATTATCTGAATCTTTATAGTAGACGGGATGCTTCCCTGGAAGATGAAACGAAAGTCGCTGAACATGTGGATCTCTAAATTGTATTTCATATTCCAATGTCCTCCACGCTGCTTCGCATGATGATATATATCGACAATCATAGTACATTTGGATTTCATCTAAGCTCTTGGTGGTTTCATCTTCAGTGGAGCTTTTATAGAACGATGCAGTCACACGATCATTGCCTTTGTTTATGTATTTAAACAAATACTTGATAGCACGTGACTGATTGCACCACTCAACATTCAAGTGACCACCATACCGAAGCAATAAGTAACGGTTATGAGGAACAACATAGCGGTTATCCAAATCAGCGCCACTTTTACGAATAATCCTTCCGTCATCTCTACGTCTATATATAGGATACCCATCATCATCAATGGAACTCAATTCGACAAACCTCTTCGGAAAATGTTTAGAACAACGACCATTAATCATGCAAGGCGAGTCTCTCTTGTCATCTCCACATGGGCCATGCAACATAAACTCTCTCACGGCGCTGTAGTACTCTGGATCATTTTGTTCATCAGGAATCTCCGCAGATATGATCTTATCAATAGAAGATGGGGATGGAAATTTATCTTCCTGGCATAGGAACAAAAGTATGTGTGCATGTGGTAGTCCTCTTTTTTGAAACTCCACCGTGTAAACAACTACATAAAAAGATTAATGAATAGTTACAAAGAAATGTAACAAATAAAGATAAACAAATAAATTACTATAGTAAAAAAATAGAAAAAAAAATTACGTGCAACTACGTACCTGCTTTGACACTACCAAAAATTTTTCTTTTTCGAATATCATCAATTAATCCATCTAGCTTAGTCTTAAAGATCCTGCAAACAATGTCCGGGCGGTCTTCTGGTTTCAATCCACGACTCTCAACAAATCTTGTAATCTCAGGCCATTTTGGGTTACATGTTAATGTGATAAACAAATCAGGATAACCCGCCCATCTACAAATAGCCATTGCATCTTGATAACTTTGCACCATATATCTAGCTCCCCCAGTAAATGATGACGGTAAAATTATGCGTCTTCCCTGGTTCGATGCATCTGTTTCTCCACGTAACAAAGCATCATTAAGACCACTATACAATTCACACCTTAACTGTTGTTGATTAAATCTAATGTATCTCAAACGGGAAGATTCAATCATTGTATATGCATCTACAATGAATTGTTGGAAAAGTCGTTTCGAAGATAATATAGTCGTTGCCTCATTATATCTCTCGTGAACCCTAAAGGCAAAGAATTCGCGCATGCTTACGTGCTTTCGACCTGCGCCAACGTACAATTCAGAAAAAGGAATATTCTCTCTATATCCATCTTCTCCATATGGAAACAACAATGGATAATGTAGTGCGAGATACGATGCATGCAATTCATTAATTCTCTTTAGACGACCAGATTGCGTTTCAACTATTATATCTCTATTTCCCAAATTCTCATCAAGATCTCCGACAATTAGAGCTGCAACCTCCGATGTTGTTGGAAGATTATATCTTCTTCCATCTCTATTTCGCTTTCCAATTAGCCTCAGCTTCACATCAAAGCTTCCACTGTCAATCATCCTATCCTTAACCATCCGAAAAGATCTCACCAGAACGTTTTCTCTATCCAACATTTTTTTTAAATCAGATACTATCTCGGCATGTAGGTCATTAGGATCAGCATCTCGTCTGGCAGTAAACATGTAAGAAACCAATTATCAACAAAGTACAATAGTTTTATGTATACACGAATAAACATATAATTATAATTACCTTACGGCAGACATGCGATTTGAAATCTCATTGTCCGTATCATAAATATATAATTGCGCAAATTTTGGTGTGGATCCGTTAAGAGGAAGTAAACTACCAATCAAATGGTAATTTTGTCCGCCGAGCTTAAAGATTGGGGGAGATCCACCTTGATTTATTTCTTTGTCTATTTTTCCGCCCATTGAAGTGAATGAAAACATGCTATTATAACTTCGTATATTTTGAAGAAAATGCTTGCTTTTTTTTGAATTTCCATAAATCAGTTCTTGAAGTTCTGCTGGAGGTAACCTCAACAAAGGAAGTTCAATTTTTCCATTTTTACAACAATCTGAATATTCAGGATTTTCAGTTTTACGATATCGGGCCTTTCTCTCCTCATACCAAAAAATTGCACCACAAAAGTTGCATTTGCAAGATGGATCACCAATATCCCAATAATCTGAGAAAGAAAACACAAATATTAATAGTATATCTAATAGAAAGTATTTATACTTCAATTAGTGCTAGCATACCAACTTTATCCTTCAAGCTGCATCTTTCTTTTTCATTAACGCGAACAGTACGCTTCACGCGTTCCTTTTTATCTAAACTACCACGCGGACGACCTCGTTCTACATAATAAGGAATCATTGAGAAGAAATTTATACTACCAAGAGTAAGTTTGCTAATAATTGAATTTATTTAAAAATTATAGTAGTAAGAGAATCATTTGATATATACTGGTGGTTGTGGGTTGTCCCTTTTGTTTTTTATTGCCGTTAAGATGACAATCTTCATTATCCTCGACATTAATTGACTCCATAGCTTTTGATGTACTTGTTTCGAGAATTGAGGACAGTCGAGGTGCTACAAAGTTTCCCGAAATACGCATTGTTAGAGATCCTGGATAAACATTCATGGAATAAATTAAACTATTTTGAGTCATAATTTGTTAATATAAAAAATAAAAAATAATCAATGAATATCTACTATTTAATCCTAAATAAGAGAAAATAATTTTGTGAGTTGATTGTGGCTGGAGTGCAATTTTTCCAATACAACATTTGTAAAGATATAGAATAAAATATATTTCCTAGGATTTTTATATTGTCATATCATTTTAAGGACTCAACGTACTGTTTGTGATATCGCCAAATGGTGACACTGTTGTACTTTTTGCCAAAGATGGAACGGTTTTGCCATTTTCTACAGTTTTTGGATAGTTGTTCTCTTGATTCTCTGTAAAGACAAAAAGTAAATGAAAATTGATTCATAAACTACCAAAAATATGTTAACAACTGCAAATAGTAATACGCATTTACAAATACCTTATAAAAAGCAGTAAAGTAAAAAATCGAGTGGAACACGTAAGAAAATATTTTAGCTTACTACAAATTCCCAAAATTCTATTATGTCCAAATTGGTATGCATAACATGAGTTATCAATGTTCTAAAAATTATATTATATTCATTAGAGATATGTCAAACCAAAAATTTTGACTATATGAATCTAAACCACATAAATTGCATACATACATGATCTGCATATTAAGAGGTCAGACATATTAGTTTTTCACAAAAGTCTATATGTACCTTAATAGTTTTCATATATATATATATAAGTAGTAGTATCCTAAAATAAAGGAATTACAACTTTCAAATTTAAAGATAATTCAGTTGCAACTAAGTTATAATTTACCATAACAATGTAATACAATTACAAATAGTTTAAAATTGTAAGTAATGAAATTAAGCAAAATGCCATTGACCCTAACTATGACCTATCATTTATTCATCCGTTATACATACAAATGTTGGAGTTAACACAATTAATTTTCATTTTGCTGAAAATTAATAATGTCTTTGATTCATAATCTATTATAGCGAAACAACAACTACTGAAAATAAATTAAAGCTGAGAAGAATATTACTTACTAATACCATGGTCGGACACCGTCAATTTCTTGCGCTTTCG